TTCACAGAGCTTTCCTGGGGCCACAGATGTGGAGGGGGGACAGGCAGAGAAACCCCACAGTGATTCAAACAGCACAGCTCTATTTTTATTTCTTTTATACATGCTGTTTCTGTTCTTAAATATTATTTAATAAAAAGATTCTGCTACTAAAAACAAAAAAAGGTTTGAAAACCACCAGTCTTATCCAATCCTTCACTTTGTAATTGAAAAAACTGAGCTCTGGAGAGGTGAATGACTGGAAGTCACAGAGAAGGCACTAACACCAGGACTCAGGAGTGGAGAGCTTGCTCGGCATCCACTAGGTTCCATTCTCCACTTCTTCCTGTTATTAATAGATCTGCCCTCAGCCCAACCAGACTCATGACTGTCCAGCTAGAGACTCCATTCCCCAGCCTCCTTTGCAGACACGTGTGACCACGTGACTAAGTCTTCACCAGTGGAATGGGAACAAAACTAATGCTCTATTTCTTACCAAAAGAAATGCTGTCCTCCCACTCCCTTGTGGTTGGAACATAAGACACGTAACTGGTAAACCAGCTTCTACCGTATGAACAAGGAACATATCTTAAGACAGGGCCAAGCAGCCAGAGAAAAGAACCTGGGGCTCTGGGTGACTTCGTGAAGCAGAACCACCTCCTTTCTTTGGAATATTCATGAGGCAGAAATAAACCAGCTTGTCTGAGCCTCTGTATTCTTATGGCTCTTTGTACAGTAGCTGTATTATTTATTTATTGCTAAATAAGAAATTATCCCAAAACTCAGTGGCTTAAAACAATAAACATCTGTTGTCTCAAAGTTTCTGTGGGTCAGGAATTCAGGAGCAGCTTAACTGTGTGGTTTTGTCTCAGGGTCTCATGAGGTTGTGGCCAGGGTGCTGGCAGGGCCTGCAGTCACTGAGGCACAACTAAGGCTAAAATACTCACTTCCAAGCTTCTCCAGAGGTGAGTGTCTTTATGACAAGGCTCCTGGCTTCCCTAGAGCAAGTGATCTGAGAGAGAGAGAGAAGGAAACTGCAGGGCATTTTTGTGACCCAGCCTTCAGAGTGAAGCACTGTCACCTCCCATTCTATTTGTTAGGACTCTGAAAGTCCAACCCAATCTCAAGGGAATGGGAACTAGGCTCCACCTCTTGAAGGAAGGAGTATCGAAGATTTCGTGGACATATTTTCAAAACCACCGTGGTGGCTTGGCTTGTATCCTCATTAATACACTAGATCTACTGGCTCCTGGTCCTATGCTGCTTCTGAGCCATGATGCTTCATGATGTAGTTCAATGATCACCATAACTAACAATTATTGGGGGCTTTTTATGTGCCAGGCACACACCAAGCATTTTTAAAATATTTTCTTCCTCATATGACCCTCTGTGGTAGATTCCAGTACAAGCCCTAATTTTCCAGGGGAGGAAACTAAGGTTTCACATAGTTATTACCATGCCAGACTCCAGAGCCGGGAGCATGTTTTGTGGAGAGAGACTGAGTTTGGTTGGAATTCCATCACCAAAACTTAGAGTTATGTGATTTGGGGGAAGATCTAACCTTCTTGGGCTTCCATTTTATCATATAGAAAAGTAGAAAATAGTAACACCTGAAGGGCTGTGGTGAGGGATAAATGAAAATATGGATAGCACTGAGCACAGGGCATGGACTGCAGTGGGTGGTCAATAAAAGGTGGTTCTCTTCCCTCCTCTGCTTTTTTCTTGAATCTCCACTTTCACACATGAAACAGTTCAGCTCTAGCCTTGAGTATTGGCTTCATTCCAGAAATCCAAAGAGATGGCAGGACTGTGCAGAATTCCTGGGAACTGGGTTAGTCTGAACCCCATAGATTCTGTTTCCTTCCGGGCTGCCAATACCTAGAAAGCATCAGGGGATGCTTAAGAGATACTTAGGAAAAAGCCCCAGACATTATCCCAGAACTGACCCAGCCTCTAGGTCACACCAATGCCTTTTTCTCCTATTGGTCTTCCCATGTGGTTGGGAGCTGGGGGAGGGAGCGGGGAAATTGCTAGTTCATGTTCCTGGAGAACCACAGACCAGGACCTGGGGGCATTGCTGGGTAAATAACGAACACCTTGGGCCAAGAGTTGCATCAGTTCCCTAAAAGCATCCTGGTACTGAGACATCCAGGGCATATGGACAGAAGAAGGCCAGATCTTTTAAGAATAAAATGAGTGAAGGGCCTCATTTGCCCAAAGGTACAATGAACAACTCTCCACCCCTTCAAAGAATTGCATGTTCCTCTCATAAAAATTATTTTCTTAAGAAATGAAAGTTTGGGGAAATGCTGTGACAATTTACCTCATTAGCATTCTCTTCCATATTTTAAGGATGGATTTGGAGGCCCATGGAAGAAGGAGTCTCTTACTAAAGGTGAAATGGGGTGATTAAGGCTTCTGGCCCCATGCTCCTCCACAGAATTAGCTCTCTCTCCCCAAAGTGTTTCTCTAGTGCCTGCAAGCCTCAACACAGGGAGTGTATCAGAGGGTGTTAGGATGGGGCAGTGGAAATAAAGAGAATCCCTGACTCCTGAGAAGTTTTTCTGGAGGCCTAGTATTATCTTTCTCTCTTTCCATAGAAGATTTAGAAACAGAATTCTACTTCAGATTTCTCAAGTGGCTTTGAATGTATAATCCATCATCTTCTTTACTGTTTCAGTTTCTTCCTCAATAAAATAAGCAGACTTGCCTTCCTGACTCACAAGAAGCTGGGGGTATGAACCATCATGTCATTGGTGGGGGTGGGGGAGGTGAGTTATCTAAATTGTATTGACATAATGTGATAGCACCTTCAGTCTAGGAAAACGCCGGGATTGAACCAAGCTTTTCAAGGATGCCCAAGACCAAAGCCCTTCAAGCAGCATCTCCCAATCTAAGCCATCTTCTTTTTTTGGTGAGGAATATTGGCCCTGGGCTAACATCAGTGCCCATCTTCCTCTACTTTCTATGGGACGCCGCCACAGCATGGCTTGACAAGCAGTGCGTCATTGTGTGCCTGGGATCCGAACTAGCTACCCCCGCGCTGCAGCAGCAGAGCGCACCCACTTAACCGCTGTACCACCGAGCTGGCCCCTCTATGGTCATTTATACACAGGCACGTACATACATCCATTCCAAAAATATTTAATGAACCAGACACCGGAACCACCATAAAAGTGGTTCATACCTTGAAAAATCGCTTATGAGGAGGGCTCATGAAGGTATCAAATTCAGGAAATCACATACTTATCTTTATAATCCCATAGCATACTACATTGTACACGCAAAGTGTTGAAAGAGATGCAGATAGGGAAAACCTGATCCTGAGGAGCCACAGAAGAGGTGAATTTTTAGGTGTCTCTTACAAACGGTCAGGCACAGAAAGAAAAAGGGCATTCCAAACATAAGCAATGCTACATACAAAATCACAGTCCAGAGGGAATATACTGTGTTCGAGGAGCAACAGCAGAGCTTCCTGGCTGACCAACAGTGTAGAGAAGAGTGCACTGGTTTTAGAAAACAGGCCAAGGCCAGACTGGAACGATTTGAATGTCACACTTGAGAGTTTCACTTTATCCTGTAAACACCAGAGACCAACAGTTATTAAGCAAGAGAAATAAATGATAGATTTATGTCTTAGAAACATAACTCTGGAGCCAGCAGAGAGGATGGACTCGAGAGTAACATCAGAGCATTATTTCTCTCAGCATAACTGCCTGAGAATTTTGAGGGACAAGGCCCGTTAAATGAACGTTTCTGGGGCTCTCACCTTTAACTATTGAATCAGAATCTCTAAGCTGGAGGCCTGATAATTAGCACATGTAACACCTCTAACATAACGGTGATTCTTGCCGGCTCTAAAGTCTGAGACGTGGGCAAAAATCAGAGAGGCCAGTTAGGAAGCTTTTGCAATTGTCCAATTAGGAGATCTTCTTGATGAAGTCACCTGATACTTTAACCATCATGCTTTTAAATGACAAAGCAGTCATATGCATAATCTTATTTAAGAGTTAGGGAAAGTAGTTATCACCTTCAATTAACAAATGAAGTTTAATAGGAAGATTAGATTGAGTCCTTATTTGCTTGCTTGATTACTGTCTGTCTCCTCACACAATTTAAACCCCAGGAGAGTAGAAACTTTGCTGACTCCGACTACGTCGACGGGTCCCCGGTGTAACAGTGCTTGACACAAAGTGGGCTCGCGGTGAACGTGTTCTAAATAAATGAAAGACAGGAAAACAAAAAAGAAAAAGAAAGAAGGAAAAGATGCAATATCAGGTAAAAGAAGGCATATTGGACGGGCAATTAAGAGATTCAGTCTTTCTTCCAACTACTATTCATTCAACACGTACGCGGTGCTAGATGCTGAAGACACTGCCCTTATGGTGTTGCCAATATCGATTTCTGGGTTTGATTCTGCTAGTTAGGAGCGTGGAGCCCTGACCAGTCAACCTTAAGCTGAAGCTTCAGGCCTTAATTCCTTGTTTGTAAAATGAGAGGCTGGCCAAAAATGAGATGACAACTAACGCTCTTTCCAGAGCTCACTTTTGTAATTCATCTGCTCTGCCTTCTTGCTTCAGTTCCCCCTTTTGCAGACAGCAAAGGCACGTGCTAGCCGCCAGGACCAAGCCCTTGCCCACGGAGCAGAAATGGAAAGCTCCCCAGAACTGGCGTCTCAAAGAGCTGTAGAAATTCTAAGCCGTCAAAGATCTGGAGGCGGAAAACAATGTGGCACTAATTGTTCGGTTTCCTCCAGGTCCCGGGCGGAGGAGGCTGGCCCCCGCCTGCTCCGGCCATCGCCTGGTGCAGCGCGCTTCTGGGCGGACTTGTGTCTCGAGGACTGGGAAGGTGACGCAGGAGGTGCCCAGGGAGCAAAGACGCGCCCCCTCTGGAGGGGGGCGGACCTGCAAATAATACCCGGGGCCAGGAGGAAGGCTCCCATTGGCCGGAGGGCGGGTTACGGGCGGGGGCGGAGTTTCCCGGAGGGGGGGGGAGTAGGGGGAGTATAAGAGAGGGGGGGTGTGCGCAGCTCGTGTCAGTTTCGAAGTCTCCTGCCTCTCACCTTCGCGTCCTGGGACGTGAGCGCAGCCACCCGCCACGGCTTTTCCCTCCTCTGCGGGCCGAGAGCCTCTGCCGACAGGGCGCCCCGCATCTCCCCCAGCGCGGGGGCCCTCCTGCATTTCCTCTGTGCTGCTTTGATCAGGGGGACTTTGGGTTTGTTTTCTCCTCTTTCCTCTTTGTTGCTCTAAAACCGGTCACGCCGAAGCCCCCCATTCCGGAGGGAGTTCGACTTGTTGAGAAAGGCGGCTGCCGCGGACTGCACCGGCCCCTCCTGCGGACCCGCAAGCCGGTGCCCACCTTGCCCGCCTTACCCGCCGCCTGCGTTCGTTCGCCCGAGGAAGCCAGCCGAGAGGTCATTGATGCACCCATTCCAGTGGTGTAACGGTGAGTCCCCGGGCGGGAGGGCGAGCGGGCGCTGGGCTGGCCGGAGAGGCGAGGGGGGCGCAGGGCTTAAGATCAGACTGAGGGCTCGTTCTCCCTCTTGAGACAAGTTTCTCACGAAATGGGACGGGCGAGAAGGCGTCCTGGCGCCCAGCTGTGCTGTGCACAGCGCGGAATTTGAAAAAAAAAATCCAGGTCTAACTCGAGGGCCGGAAAGGGTCTCTGAACGTGCGGCGGGCGGGGGTCGTGGGAGCCGAGGGGTTCGCGGCCTTTGTGTGGCGGCTTCGCTCTTCTGCCGCCTTCCCTTGCCTTTGTGCGCTCAAACTCTGCTCTTTGTTGTGGTTGTCGGAGGAGAATTAAATCCGCGCTCGGGCTGGGATCTCCTAGAGGGAGCTCAAGTTCCCGGCCTGAAACTTCGCAGGCTATTTTAAATATGTATACAATGCAGCGTGCGGGACGGGGCGCGGGGGCGGCTTCCTCTGCGTCTTTGTTGGCTTCGCGCTGACTGCTAGGGGGCTTTGTGCCGGGGGAAGACGCCGGGTTCCAGAGCGTGGCTTTATGAAATTGATAAAGCCTTGCAGATATCTCGGCGCCCGGCTGCTCTTGGGTGCAGGGCTCGCCTGGAGGGAGCTGTGCTCTCTGACCCCAAGGCCAGACCACGGTACTAGCTCCCGAACCTTGTGGTGGCCGTACATCCAGAGCCAATCACCCCTCCCACCCTATTCCCGAGCCCCCACCCTCCCTGGCCTGAGTGAGGCTAAATTCATCTCACCTGAGGCTTTTTAGCGGTTCAGGTGATACAGGTTGGGTTTGGGTCTGATTCCTCACCCAAGCTACCTGAAAGGGGGGCCTTTATGAGTGGGTCAGTTTAATACCATGGGCCCTGAGACCCTCCAATGGCCCTAGTGTCCTGACCGCATAGTTCTAACGCTTGGAGAGTTTCTGGAGAAGAGGGTGGGGGGAGGGAAGCAGCTGGCCTTATCTCTGAGTATGGCAGGCTGGCTCGTTAGGGGGAAAAAATCCATTCTTGAGAGCAGACTCCTGCCAGATCTTGGATTAATTATTTCAAGAGGCTTTTGTTTTAAGGCAGGGTTTGAGCAGCATGTCTATGAGTGTCCCCCACCCCCCTCTTCCTCTTGCTGGTAGGATCTAATTTCCTGAAAATGAACCAGGCTGTGTGTGATAGGCCTGCCTTGCGGGAGAGGGGGCGGAGGATGGAGGGTGAGGGAGGACCCTGTGTCCCAGCATCTGGGAAAGATTCCCGTTGACTGGGAAGGAGAAGCATTTCCCAGATCCACTGGTCTTTTTTGGCCAGCCCTTCTCTTGACGTCATTCCTGCTCCCAGCCTGCTCACCGAGATGAGACATTCTGATGTCAAGGCTTTCATAGGTTGGCTGAGACAATGGAACAGAGACTTCAGGAGAAGCAGCAAGGTAGCTGTCAGTAACACCGGCCTTTCTTCTGGGCAGCGCTCTTTCATGTGAGGTTTTTAGACCAGCAGAGGACTTGCTGCTTTATCTTTTCACTACTTAAAATGACTGAGAGTCCTGTTCTTTGACTCCAAATGAGGAAGCAGTCCCTCCCCCACTTTCCCTTTGTGAAAAGCATCTGGACCCCTTTCCTGGGGTTGGTATTCTGTCCTTATAAGTTTTAGAGGAACAACTACTCCATGCTCAGCTTTTAGCCAATATATTTTTTTCCCATGTCTTTTTAATTGTAATACAAGCAAATGGACCATCTTCTCTTAGCTATTCAGCTCTTCTCACCCCCACTTCTTTATCACATAAAGCTCACTGACCCTATTCTGGAGTCCTAGGGAAAGCCTCTATCAGACAAGATAAGGTGGTCCAGATAAACTGATCAGGAGTCTGTGGAGGCCAGAGCGCCTGCACACACATACCCTCTGCATTAGCCACTGGCTCTGCAAGGTCTCAAAACAGGAAACCAAATGAGGTTCTTGGGGACCCTAAAGATAACAGGCTCCAGCGCATAAAAGGTGCATGGAGAGCCAAGGCAGATTGTGGGTTTGACCCTCTTAGAGCATCATATATTGCTGAGGCAGGGGGTGGGGAGATGCGCCTGGTGGGGAGGAAGACCTCCTTGGCATTGACACCTGTCCCTGGAAGAGAAGTCATGAGGCCCTTTTCCAGAGCCGACTGAAAGTTGTCCCTCTCTAGCCAATCCCCCGTGATGTCTTCATGGAAAATTGATCTCCTTTGGCCTACAGAGAGCAAATATTTGAGTGGAGGGCAGAGAGGTGGTGAAAACTTTTTTCTAACCCTTGCTGTAGTCTAGAAGCAATGGCTTCCTATAGAGCAAAGCAAAGTTTAATAGCTAGTTATTTAATTTTTTTCAACTTAATCAAAAAGTCTTTCAGGAGAAGAACTATTTCTTTTACTTTTTGTTTCCCCACAATGTCTAGGTCAAGATGCAAATCAGGCCCTCCACAATACTTGTTGGTTGACTGGTCATCCATTAGCTGAGGGCAGTTTCTGGGCTATTTTCCCCAACATCAGTCTCCTCACTTTGAAGGGGGAGCTTTTGTCAAGGGCACTAGGTTGTCTGGAGAAAATCACAAGTTATTTATCTGTCAACTAGTTATCAAAAACAAGCCAAACACTAGGCAAGGCATTGGAGCATATAGAAAAGTCCAAGTTGCTGTCCTCAGGACGAGGAGCATTCAAGCTTGTTAGACTCGCATCTCTGATCTCAGGATTATAGTCACACCTCTGCTATGGTGCCTAACTTAGCATGGTGAAAACCTTTGTGTCTGCCTTCTCTAGATGGAAAAAGCGGCCAGTCACTCTTCTTTGTTTTTTTATCTTCAGTGTCTCTCGTAGTACTTGTCATATAATCAATGCTTAATGCATGTTTGAGTTAAATTAAGTTGATGCTAGGAACACTTAGGCAATGTAAGACAGTTACTGAGTATGCAGGAGCCAGAACATGTGGTGTAGACTGTGAGCACTATAGAATTCAGGAAGAGAGAAGTCACTGGAATATCACAAAGACCAGGCTGGGTGGACTTCGGGAAGGGAGAAAAAGTTGCAGGCAGAGAAAGCTGCATGAACAGGTGTGGAGACAGGTGAGGACAAGGTTGGGCAAGACATAGTGAAGAGACTGGTCCACATGGGGTGATGCTGGAGGACACTGAGCGGGGGAGGTTGACAAGGTTGAGAGAGGGGACCTAGTTCATGCAGGTTTAGGAGGACTTGAAGCCAGTAACGAGTTTGGAAAATAGATGATAGAAACCAAATGGGAGGATATGTCAGACGTGTGCTAAATTAGGGGAGTGATCAGATATCAATTAGGTGTCTAGAATAGGGACTTGGAATAGAATTGGGCCCAAAATCTGTTTGGATTAGGGACTTGGCAATAGAATTGGGTACAAAATCTGAAAGAGGTGTGGAAGGAGGCTCATTATATGGCCACTGGGTTGATCTAGGGGATGAAGAGGAATGAGATGTAGAATGTCAAAGATGACTTCCAGTCTTTCAAGCCAGTCTTCTGCTGAGTTGCGGTAGCATTGGTAATTATAATGTAGAATTCCGAAGTATGTTAATGGATTCTGGCTCCTAACCAAGATGTCAGTAAAGTGCCCATGTTGAAGACTTGAGTACAGAGGTCTTTGGAGCCAGGCCTTCTTAGCTGTTTGACTGTAGATTGAGCCTTTTTTCCCCACTGGTGGGGAAAGTATCGTTTCACTGTGGCATTACAAAGAAAAACTTGGGAGCATGAGAATGTGCTTGGGATGTAGCAGGTATATGGTAAATTCTAGTGTTCTTGTCTCACCACTTTTTTTTTTTTTTTTATAATTTTATTTATTTATTTTTCCCCCAAAGCCCCAGTAGATAGTTGTATGTCATAGTTGCACATCCTTCTAGTTGCTGTATGTGGGATGCGGCCTCAGCATGGCCAGAGAAGTGGTGCGTCGGTGCGCACCCGGGATCCGAACCCGGGCTGCTAGCAGCGGAGCGCGCGCACTTAACCGTTAAGCCACGGGGGCCGGCCCTCACCACTTTCTGAAGTCCAAGTTTTATGCTTACCTTTTGACTCACTATGTTATTTCTGCCTGCAAGCAGGAAAAAACACTCAACTGCCTTATTGTTTATATGCTATCTTTTTTTTCTTTATGGTTAAACATTATAGAAAATTTACTAACTCTTAGAACCAGTAGTCCCAAGATAGAGAGTGGCTCCAGGATTGGTTAATCCACCAACTCAACTGACATAATCTCTCTTCTTTCCTTCTCTTTCCCTGTCTCCTCTGCCACCTTCAGCCATCAGCTTTATATTGAACTGCTCTCTTTCCAGCTAAAACGTGGCTGCCACCATTCCAAGTGTTTCAGGAAGACTTGACAAAAAAAGAAAAATCTTTCCTTTTCCAGCAGACCTTCTCTTTGGTTCTTTAGCCAGAACCCTGTCACATACCTTCCTCAACGCCAAACCCTGGCAAGGGGAAGGTGACTACCACGAATGGTAGACCAATCAGGATTGACCTCTGAGTCATGGGAGAAGGGGGAGCATCTAGTGGCTAGCCAGTGCTTCCCACGCTGAACGCTTAGGAATCTGCTGAGGACCTTGTTAAAATGTTCTTTCTGATTCATTTTCCTCTGGGGTGGGCCCCAGATTCTGCATTTCTAGCAAGTTCCAGGGGAGGACACTGCCATTACGGGACTGCGTGTAGTCCAGGCTTTGAGTAGAAAGGGGAAAGGTGGCCAGTAAAAGCAGGCTGCAGCTGCCCCTCCCCCGGCTCTCCTGCCACTTTCTGGAGCGCTGGCCCAGCCTTGGAGTGAACGATTTCTATTCTGGTCCTGGTGCAGCTTTTCTTCTGGAGCAGGTGGCTTAATAATGACGAATGACCTTTGCAACTACACTTTGCAATTTACAAAGCATTTCTTACACCATCATTTTCATTCCTCTCTGTGTTTCGCTTGTTTTCAAATGACAAAGTGAAGCTTAGATTGGTAATTTCTTAAAGGTCACATAGCTAGGGAGAGGAGGAGTTGGAACCCAAATTACCTTTTCTCACCTAAGCCTCTTCATTTTGCTACTATACTATATGGGCTTCTACCTAATGGAATTGAGTTTTCCATTTTCTGCCGATTGCCTGAATCCTGGATCTTCTAGAAGGGGATGCTGTGTTAAGTACTGTGTGTAGTATCCCATTTCATAGACTGATTAAATACTTTACCCAAGATCACATAGCTGGTAAGTGTTAGGACTAGGAAATAAACTTAAGCCCTTTGGGGCTGGCCCCACGGCTTAGCGGTTTAAGTGCGCGTGCTCTGCTACTGGTGGCCCGGGTTCGGATCCCGGGTGCCCACTGATGCACCGCTTGTCCAGCCATGCTGAGGCAGCGTCCCACATACAGCAACTAGAAGGATGGGCAACTATGACATACAACTATCTACTGGGGCTTTGGGGAGAAAAAGGGAAAAAAAAAAGGAAGAGGATTGGCAATAGATGTTAGCTCAGGGCCGGTCTTCCTCAGCAAAAAGAAGAAGATTGGCATGGATGTTAGCTCAGGCTGATCTTCCTCAAAAAAATTAATTAATTAATTTAATTTAATTAAATAAACTTAAGCCTCTGCCCCTGAATCAGAGGTTTTGGAGCCCAGAATCTGCCATTTCTCTCTCTATCCTTGCTGACACAGAGCACCATCAGCCCCAGTGGTAAATTTCCAACTATAATATAATTCTTCCTCCCCTTTCTTTGCAGGGTGTTTCTGCGGCCTGGGACTGGTTAGTACCAACAAGTCCTGCTCAATGCCACCCATCAGTTTCCAAGACCTTCCTCTCAACATCTACATGGTCATCTTCGGCACAGGCATCTTTATCTTCATGCTCAGCCTCATCTTCTGCTGCTATTTTATCAGGTAGGTGGCTCACTGGCTGACCTGGGTTGGGGAGTCAGGGAGGGGGAGGCCAGGGGTAGGGTGAGCCAAGTGAGGCTCCCACAGCAGAGTCACTTGCCTCCCGCTGGGACACAGGGCTTAGCCTGCCCTTCACTGGGCCCCTGAGGCCTGGCGTTTCTATTTACATCAGCCTATCAAGTTGTCCCAGAGCGTATAAGGTCACCATGGGTTGAGCTGCATCCTGCCCTTGGCCAGTTATTCTAAGGTTTCCTAGAATTACTGTCTGACCGAGTAATATCACTGATGGTCCCTTAGGCATCTCTCTACTCCCCACTCACACCTCTTGGTGGCCAGGGATAGGGGGCATCAGTTACACCAGGGGCATGTTCTTCTGCCCTCTTGGGAAATCCTGTTGTCAACCCGCCAGATGCTAATATTAGCAAGCTCATGTCTGGAGAGCTGCTTGTTTACTCTGCCTTGTAAGTTCTTACTTTTGAGAGTGAAAAAACTAAAAACATCACTTATTCTTACTGCGTAGGGATCCAGGGAAGGACTTGAGCTTGGCAGGGCTAGCCAAGCTTCAGGAACTGTTTCTTCACCTCCTGTTGAAAGACATGGGAACTGGTACTGTTTTCTACCAAAAATTTCAGACATGACTGGTATTTAGAATGGAAATTAAAGTAGTGTTTCTGACTAGGGCGCGCTATTGGTGTTAACAGTTCCTCATTGCATGGGACTGTCCTGTATATTGGGGAGTGTTGAGCATCCCTGACCAGTAGAACATGCTAGTGGTCCTTAGAGCCACCGTGATAACCAGCCCCTCACCACACACATATCAGCCAATGTCTGATTAGACATCCGCTGGGGTCTAAGCTAGTGTCTGATCAAATCATTTAAGAAGATTAAATGAAGATGAAGGGAAAAGAAGTTCTGGCTCCTTACTGAGATGTCTTGGTGGGTGTGAGTGCTTCACCTGGAAGGAGGCTAGAATGAGGGCAGACACTTGTCCATATTCCTAAGGCTAGAAGACTCCCTCTAAAAAGGGAAAATGCCCTCAGGCCCTGCTCCCCAGTGCTCCCAGTTGCTGCCTTGGTTCTCTTCTTTTTCAGAACTTTGAAAGTCCCTAGGACTGGAATTTCCACTTAAAAGTCTGCAGAAAAGATAGTGGTTTATTTTCCCTCTTGTACGATGGTGTCTAAAATTTGCTTCTATATTAAAGTGAGGGGGAGGGTAGATTTCTGGTATCTCTCCACCCGCTTCCCCTTCCCCAAGCCTAAGTTTTCTTCCTCAAACTCATGTTCTACTACCAGCCACCCCCATCTCCCCATATCAAGCAAGTTACGCAGTTCCACAGAGACCAAAGATGGAGACATACTAAATACCAGAGATTTATGTATGATGCTGGGAGGAGTCTGTAAAACCAGCTCTATTTGGTCCCTACACACACACACACACACACACACACACACAGGAACACTCAGGCACACGCGCACACATGCATACATGCCAAGCTGCAAAGGTGGTCAAGTGAAGAAAATCTAGAAAATCACTCTGGGCCAATAAATGGGTGACCAGCGTTCGTTTCCTAATTCTGCCACTAATAAGTGTAATCTGGTTTTTAGCTACTCTTGACCAAGTGCCTCAGTGTGCCAGGCATTGGGGTCAGCATTTAGTAAGATGTTTAGCTCACTTAGTGCTCAGAACATCCCTCCCATTTAGGTATTAGGCCACTTTATAAATGAGGAAATTCGTGCTCGGGCAGTTAAGGATCTGCCCAGGGTCATCCATGAAGGAAGATAGAGGTGGGCTAGTCTGGTGACAATTAGCTTGTCTGTCTGATTCCAGACATTTGCCTTTCTCTGCCTCTTATTCCGTGAAGGGGAAGGGGAGTAGCAGCTGTGGCATCCATGGCCGCCCCCTTACAGTTAGCGATTGGGGTCCTGCAGAAAGACAGGCTGGGGAGCTAGGTATGGCTGATTTATTTTCATTGGGCCAGAGTAAAAAAAGTAGAGCAGTAACCACAGGATACCAAAAGCTTTCCCCCCTGCGGGGCTGCTCGGCACCACCTGTCCCCTCTGCAGTAATCTGCTCCTTCACCACCCTGCCCTCTGTTCTGCAGCCTGCCCGAAGCCTGTCGACCCTGGACTTTCATGGTTCCAGAGGCTGGCTGGTGTGTGGCAGCCTGTGGTTGTCTATATATAGCAAGACACACAAGCACAGAAGCCACTTCCTCTCCCTGCTTCTCGGTTTCCTCCTCAGCCAAAATAGGCCCATGACCCCCAGCTCCTGACCTGGTTAGCTCATCGGCCAAGGCCAGCCTCCACTCCCCAGCTCCCCCTCGCTGATTCTTCCTCACGCCCTAAGAGGCGACCTCTGCCCCACACAGGATGGAGGGGCCAGTGAAGTACAAATAGGCAGGAAAGGAACAATTATTTTCAGGACCTGGCTGCATTGTTTGTTCCAAAAGGGAAGAGAAGCAAGGGAGAGCCCACTGGCAGTGGCTAGAAACGGTCTCATTGAAATCAGGGTATTTTTAGTTGCTTTGCTCACCCAACAGCTGAGAAGGCCACCTGTCCAGAGTTGTTGGCCCTGCCTCCCCTGCTGGGATGGCCCAGAGCCTTTGTTTTTTGCTTTGTTTCCCTTGCAACCTTTTTGGCCTCATTTCATCACAGTCTGTACCTTATTGATCTGGAAGTCTACATGCAGGGTGAAGGTGCAGCTCTGAAGCCCTTCACTGTCCTCATAGTCCTGGGCTCTGACAGTCTGGCTTCTGGAGGATCCTTGAGTAAGACCATTAAAGGGAGCCAGCAGATAAAAGGGATAAGGGTGAGGAAGGAGGGCACCCCTGGCACCCTAGGATGGAGCAAGCAGAAAGGCCCTGCACACTCTACTAATTATAGCCATGTTGCAGGTGAGACAGTTGAGGCTCAAAAGACATGTGGCATCCGCTCAGTCTCTGAGTTAAGAAGCAGGCTCCTCACCACTTCCTTATTTACTCTGTACATACCTGGTAACAGCAACAGTGTCACCCTCAGAAGGCGGCTGTGAGCAATGAGAACACTTTCTTCCTTCCCCAGCTTAACTCCATCTCAGTCAGGTAACAGTTGTTCATTTAAGCCTTGGATGCATCCTTCCCTGCCCCTCTCATTTGGAAGTGGGGACAGAGTGCCAAGTTAAAGATGGGACAGTGGGAGGCCTGGTTAGGCCTTTAGCCTAACCGTCCAATGACCAGAAACCCTCCAATAAGGGAAGAGGGAGGGAGGCAGTGGATAGGCAGCCTGGGCTTCAACCCCATGGCAGGAGTCCACTTGGACAGTTCCTAAGAGGCTCTGGGCATAGATGGCCTTTCCAGGGTGCCTGACTTCCTATTAGGAATGATGGAGGTGGCTGGCAGCCTGATGTTTCTTATCTGCTTCCTGGTTGTGCTTCAGGCGTGGCTCTGCCCCCACTTCTGCCTCTTTCACCACTCTGGGTGCAGTTTCAGCTTCTCTGCAATGCCCATGGAGCATCTTATCGCACTCCTTTTGATTAAAGCTCATGATTTGAGATTCTCTTCCTCTAATTCTGGTCGGCAATCTTTTTCTGCAAAAGGTCAGATGCTTTTGGCTTTGCGGGTCATACGGTCTCTATCTCAACTACCCAACCCTACTGTGCAAAAGCAGCCGTAGACAGTATGTAAACGATGAGCATGTCTGTGCTCCAATAAAATTTTATGGACACTGAAATTTGAGTTTCATATAATTTTCACACAATATGAAATAGTCTTTTGATTTCTACTTTCACCAAAGAATAGAAACCATTCTTAGCTTATAGGCCCTATAAAACAAGTGGTCAGCTGGATTTGACGCTCAGGCCCATAACCTAGACCTATGATAGAATGATCAGTGGGAGAGAGCCCCATCTGGCTCCCACGCATAGGAGGCCGTAGAGCTGCCTGCAGAATGCGGAAGGTTTCCCTTACTGAAAATGAAACAGCAAAAAAATATATATGCATCATTATTGGCCATTTGCATAGTAAGCCATTCAGAGAGTTGCAGCCTTGCTGATTGAAAGGGTATTTTCCAAGCCCAGATCATATTCTCAGGACTATGATGTGTTCTACCTAATTGGAGAAACAAGCCACATTGTGTGTTAAAGAGCTTAGGCTCTGTAATCAGATAGACTTTGATTCAAATCCAGACTCTGCTGCCAACTAGCTCTGAAGTCTGGGCAGTTACTTAACTTCTTTGGACTTTGCTTTCCTCATCTGTAAAAAGGAAAGTGTCTCCCTCTTAAAGTTGTTGGGAATCGATGAGAATGTATGTGAGTATGTTAGTGCAGCAGTCCATGCTTAGCGAGTCCTCGATGACTAGTGTGCTGTTGCCGTTAGTAACAACGTGCCGCCTTTCGGCTATTGAGAGTCAGGCTGTATGCAGGCCACCGGCTTGAAACGAAAAGAAGAAACAAAGAAGAGATCGCCTGTGTTTGCCTGGCACTCTGAAGGGAAGAATGTGCTTTGGTTCTAGAATACTTTTGTTCTCCGGGTGGAAAATTCCCCAAAGTCAACAGAGGCTTACTTATTCTGCTACCCTGGCTTAATGGAAATATCCCTTTTAAGAATATCCAACTTCTTCTGTACACTCAGTAAACAATTGTTGATCTATATAGTTTGGGAGCCTGTAGGAATTTACCTCCTGGGAAATGGCAGGGTGAGTGAATGTACTATTTGGGGTGCTCTGCCACCAAATTCCCCAATCCATGGGACCACCAGTAAGTTTTGAGGCATTTGAGTCTGAGTCCTTCATCCACTCTGGGTGGCCTGCATAGGTCCAAACCATACCCCAGGGCGTCTAGGGGTGAGACATCCCTATGGGGAGCACCCCTCACCACCCCCAGAAGAATGCCCAAGCAACCAGCCTGCCTGTCCTGCTTTGAATGGCTCTGTTTGTACAAAGGCATAGTAACCTCTTCTCTCCCCTTCTTCTTTCTCCCCCAGCAAACTCCGGAACCAGGCACAGAGTGAACGATATGGATATAAGGAGGTAAATGGCCACGTCTTTCCCTGAGACTTCCTCCTCTTCCACTTTCCCTGCAAGAGAGGGGAGGAGAGCAAGCAAGCGGAAGCTGGCCTGGCCTGGCCTCCCCGTTAGCTTCACCTCTGGCCCTCTCTGAGGCTAACTCCTTTCACGTCTTCAAGTCTGCCTTGGCCCAGGCAGTGCCCAAAGCCCTCCCATCGCTGGAGGGAGAGGCAGGGGCTCCGGTGCAGGACTGGGGACTCCCTTCATTGGTTGATACCACCTGACCCCTGAGGTTGGTTCCTTCTGACACCATGCCTCCTCTTTTCTTCCCAGGTGGTGCTTAAAGGTGATGCCAAGAAGTTACAGTTATATGGGGTGAGTGTACCGGGGCAGCACACGGGAGGGCCCCAGCAGGTAAGGCAGATGGCACCTTCTCCAGCTCTCAGCCTGTACCCTTTCAGGAACTTTTTAAGTTCCTTGGGCCAAATAAAAGAGACTCATCCCAGCATGTAATCAATATACAGAATTCATTATTTCTGGAACCAGCGCGGGCGGAAAACAAAGGATCACAGAAGAGTTTAGATGAATGGTGACACGTGGCCCCAGGAAGCCTGCTGGGCATAATCTTTCAGAGAAGGGTGGTCATACCACTCCATACAGATTTCAGCTAACTTGCCCCATGTTCAGGCTCCATGTCTTGGTTTTTCACTGAAGAAGTTGCCCTTGTATATACATGGTCGCTAGCAGACTGTGGGTCTGACTAGTATCTCCATCCCTGTGGGTCTTCGCTGTTCTGCCCCCCCGACATGCACACCAGCTCCTTGGGTCCCTTCAGCACTGACTCTTTAGGAATAGCCTATTTCCTCTTCCTTTCCCACCTATGCCTTCGAGGTCACCTAACTCATTTCCCAAGGCTTCCTTTATTAATCACAGACACTCCTGCACAGAGTGTGTTTGTGGTTGTCTGAGTGCCTGAGAAGCCCAGGTATTGCTAGACATGAGACTGCCTAGCCCTGGCCTCATTTTGCCTCTTTTTGATGCCCACTATTACGTCTTGACAAGTTCAGATGTTTCCTAAGCCCTCCTCTGGAAGAGTAATTCAGCTGAGATAGAGGGCGTTACTATATAGGGATGTAAATCTGGATTTAAAGAAAGTATACCATACACCATACCCCTATCCTTACCTTTCGTTATTGATAAATGGCCCCTTGCGAAATGTTCTAGGCTAGAAAGGATTAAAAACCATTCTTCTAGAACACCACCACCCAGTGGAAGTTTCTGTGATGATAGACATGTTCTATGTCTGCACTGTCCAATATGGAAGCCACTAGCCACATGTGGCTATTGAGCACTTGAAATGTGGCTAGTGCAATTGAGGAACTAAATTTTTAATTTCATCTTATTTTGGCCAATTTAAATTTAAAAGTCACATATGGTTAATGGCTACCCTACTGTCAGTGCAGTTTTATGAAATATGACTGAAGTTTCTCTGGCTGATAAGGAGATTGTGCTAGAGTTAGTTTTCTTGGATGGGGATGAGATAATGGGTGTTCAAGATGGGGGAGTGAGGTTCTTCCCATCTTCTCTCACACTGCCCCCTTTCTTTCCACAGCAGACCTGTGCAGTCTGTCTGGAAGACTTTAAGGGGAAGGACGAGCTAGGTGTGCTCCCGTGCCAACATGCCTTTCACCGGAAGTAAGTGTCCACAGCAGGGATGTGTGTCCAGGGGTGCCTTTTGAAAGAAATAAGCAAGGATCATCTTCTAGAACCTCCAAATCCCTACCCCCTCCCGTCTACCCCTTGCCAGCGATGCCCTACATCTTGTCTGAATACACACTTCTTGTTCTGAGAAGCAGCTGGGCTCTGTGAATGAGAGATAGCTAGAGTAGGTTGGGTAATCTTCTTAGAGGAAAAACAGGTCTTCTTTTGCCCGCAGGTGTCTGGTGAAGTGGCTAGAAGTACGCTGTGTCTGCCCTATGTGTAACAAGCCGATTGCTGGTCCCTCAGAGGCCGCCCAGAGCATCGGGATCCTATTGGATGAGCTGGTGTGAGTGCTGCCTCTACACCAAGGCCTGGAGAAGACCTCTTGCCTCGTGGGTGCCTGGTCCCTCTGCACAGCTGCAGTGAACAAGACTGTTGGGTGGTGATGGTCATGCTCACCTGAAGGGGAGGTAGTGCAGGGCTGGTCTCCCACCATCAGGGTGAGACTGCCTTGCCCCACCTTTCTGCCTCCTGAAGCCTTGTTCCCTGCTACTCAGTACTGATGGCATCGCCCTTCAAGACCACTGTATCCTGGTACTGGACTATCTACCTGCCTTGTCCCTGCTCTGGGGAAAGAAATCCACCTGTATCTGGCCAAGAACTTGGAGCACACCCCTTGAGGGTTCCCCTTGCGAGGACAAGCTGCCCTGACCTAGAAGAGGGGATGAGATGGGCTCTGCCCCACCTGTGAACTCCCCTCCCCTCCCTGCTCTTTCCATAGGAAGGTTAGAAGGGAAGGAAGGAAAGATGGAGGAATCAAGTGCCTCCAGTGGAAGTGAGGGAGGCTGTGTAGGAAACCAGGAAGAACAGGGATGTATAAAAGGAAAGTCAATGTTTACATGGGACCTATTGAAACAAAGGCTGGCCGGCCGGCCCGCTGACGACAGGGTAATGGAGGGCAGATCCCCTCCCCCTGCTAGGATCTGAGGTGCTTACTCTTTCCCTGTCTTCCTCAGCTAATCTCAGAGCTTCCTACTCCATGTTGGGGTTTAAGAGCCCCCCCTAGAAGAAGGGCTGTTCTACACTCAAGTGGATTCCCAGGAGCAAAAGGGGCCTGGGGATGGGGGTGTCTGAAGGTTAAGGTAGCAACAGATACCTTCTTCCCCTTTGTAAATAGTATTTTTATACTGCATCCTCACCATCTCAGGCTTTGTACATGTGATCCCCCGGCTGGAAGGGGTGGGGGTTTTCCGTTCCTCCCTGAAGTGGGTGAGGGTGGGAGAAAGGTATGTATTTAAAGAAAATTAAATTTAATAACAAGTTTCTCTAACCTTTGCCTGTGGTTGTGGCCCGTGTCTGTTGGCCCTTTTCTGCCAACAGAGGGAACAAAGTTCTCTAACTGCCTCTCCTCACTTCCCCATACTCAGATCAAACATACACACACAAAGGTTCCTAACCTTTAAAAAGAAAAGTTGGTATTAGATTATTGCCTGTACAACATAAGGTAAGACTAATATCAGTGTACTGTAAGACTAGACTAAGTCAGGCTCATTCATCTGATTTCTAGAATATTTTTAAAGAAAGCTGATGTACGCCACCAGAGCATTCCATTAACTAAGACTTGAAATTAATAGAATTCTACTTGCAATTCAAGCAGTTGTGCTCTTAACACAACTAAAGGTCCAGGTTGCTATCGTAGAGGCTTGATCCCTTTTCCCTTATTATATGTTTTTCTTACCCACCAGCTGACAATCACTAACACATCCTGCCCTCCTATGCCACGTCTGGAAGTGTGGCACTGTTAACATCTTATGCTTGTATGTGCACTCAGATCTTGCACCCATGTCCTCCAGCTTCACTCTGTCAGTGTCCAAGGGGGTGCTGAGTCAATGATGGGTGTGCAAAATGGGAACAGTTTTCTTGGCCATCATAAGCACAGAGCAGCTGGGCTGTGGTTGCCCCCTGCTCAGTGGAAGAGGGCAGTGCTAATGGTCATCCCAGGGGGAAGCACTAGGTGCTGTGCACAGGAGGAGGAAAGTGTAGTATAGTGGTAGGTCACAGACGTGCAAGAGATGCCCATGTACCCAGAGGAGCCAGGCCTAACGGGTATGGAGGCTGACGGCACAGTTGATGCTCATGCTAGACAGACCTGAGCTGCAGCTGGGGCACCTGATGGTCCTAGTGAAGTTGGCACCTGTCTTGGTGGGGTCCTTTGCCCAAGGGTGCACCTGTTCTTGCCACCACCTCCTCCTTCACATTCTGAGGGGTAACTCCTGCTTCCCCTTAAAGCTTCTACCCCCTGCTTGCTCCTGCCAACCCTACAAGGCCTGATCTTTTCTTCATCAGGGGCACTTCTTCCTCTAGTACTGCCAGCTTGCTTTAGTGTAGGGAATAAAATGCATTTCCTAAGCAAAACAAAGAGCCCTCCGTCTAGCTCCTGGATGCATGACTGGGATGAGGTGGGGAAAACAGGTGGTCTGCAGGTTGGCTTTGATATCTACGTGCTCCTGCCTCACCATCTCCCCTTCCTCTTAAGGAAAATTCATCAGTCTTGGCATATTCTGATTAAAACGTTGGCTCTAAAATGTCTGTGTTTGCAAGCTTGAATAGCATTGTCCTGAGGTCAGAATGACAGGGTAAAAATGCCTTGTATTACTTTCAGTACTTCTGTACAGCTAGGTAGAATGTACTACAGCATGCAGAGAAGGGAAATCCATATTTTTTAGCTGATCAGAGGTGAATTGGCAGCAGCTGATCACAAGTTAGTCACAAGTCCCAAATTCGTAGTCATTAGTGTGGTCTTGTTACTCAGGTCAGCATTCCTAGAGCCTGCCTCCCAGGCCAGCCACTGTGCCCGGTGCTGGGAGACGGGCAGCGTTGCCTTGGGAAAGGGTGTAAACACACTATATTTTGGGGGAGCAAGCTTGTATGGCTGAGAGACCCTTAGCTCAACTGGTGTGGAAGTGACAGCAGCGTTGCCTGCGGGGAGATGATGCCTGAGCTGTGTCTTGGGAGAATAACGTGGACAAAAGCATTCAAGGATCCACTAGCCTGTTAGGTGCCAGAGAGTACAAACAATTCAGTATGAAGTTGAGGTGGGGAAAGGCTGGGATGAGATAGTCCTGTGTGGTGCCAGGAACCTGGCACTTGATGGAATGAGAATCCTGAAGTTTCTTTAGATTGTTGTTTTAAAAGATCTGGGCATCATTTGGGAGCTAAGCCAATGCTTTTCTTCTCTGCGCATGAAATATTCATGGGCAACTACAGCGTTCTTCATACTATTCCCATTACTGAAGAATTTGCGCCCTAAACGTGTTTCAAAGAGTAAAAAACTGAAGGAAGCTGGGTGATAATCATACATACCAGGATTCCAACTTTGAGGATCTTATCTATGGCAAGCAAATACATTGGATCCATTGAAAGATAATGAACCCATCAAGTTCTTTCACAAGATAAATTTTGCTTTCCTTTCTGTGTATATCCCTCTGAGTCTGGGATTAGGAAATAGTGCTGAGAGAAGCAAATAAATGGCTTACCCGTCAATACACAAATAATAAACATCAGGGCCAAGGCACAAACTCAGATCATGCAGATCTAAGTTCATCATTTGCTTCTTTGCCCCACATAACTTTGAAGATAGATTGCTCCCCATAAAGACACTCAAAATAGCAGGTGCTATTTATCAGCTCCTGGGCTGAGGCAGTCCAGGAAGACAAAAAAACCCAGATAACTGTCAAATGAGTTGTGTGCTTGCCATTATCTAGGACCATGGATTTTTTAAACTCCACAAGTGGATTACTTCTCTTAAGGAAATCTTATGGAGACCTACCATAAGTGGAGGTGAGAAACTCAGAGCAGGGGCCAGCGCCGTGGCGTAGTGAAGTTCAGTGTGTTCTGCTTCGGCACCCTGGGCTTGCATGTTCGGATCCTGGGTGCAGATCTACACCACTCGTCAGGCACACTCTGGAGGTGACCCACATATAAAGTAGAGGAAGATTGGCACAGATGTTAGCTCAGGACTGATCTTCCTCAACCAAAAATGAGGAAGATTGGCAAGAGGTGTTAGCTCAGGGCTAATCTTCCTCAACAAAAAAAAAAAAGAAAAAAGAAGAAGAAGAGAAACTCAGAGCAGAATTTGAAAATCACTGACTTCAATAGATTGGGTTCCTTGAAGAACTGTGGCTTCCCATTCCCCCTTCTCTTCCATCAGTCCTTCCATTCCAATTCAGTCACCCAATGCCCCACCAGGGCTTTTCCCATTTTTCACTAGGGCCTCTTATGCCTCCCTAGTTTTGTCATATTTTCCCCGCTAAGGCTAACCCAACCTCTGCCTTTCATTCTACCACCCTTGTCGGTCTCTCTGGGCATCAGAATAACATCTTGTGTGCCCTTGACCATATCACTCACAGATGAATCTTCTGTTAAAGCCATATGCATGGATTCAGAGCAACAGATATGATCAAATTGGAGACAAGAAGGACAAACTGATGACCAGTCATGCAGGCTTGTACAACAAAGCCATTCATGGGGAAAAAATCAAGCTGTTTACTATGCCCCAGACCATCAACAGCATTGGATTCTTACCAATCCTATTTTTAAAAACATCCTGCCCCTTTAGTTCCTTCTCTGATAAACTGGCAGACTGTGCAGGGAGGACATGACCCATGTCACCTTTGTACTTTGGCATGGCCCTTGATTCTGTCTCTGTGTGACAGTCTCAGCAACAAACTAGGGCCTGTGCTCTGTAGATGAAGGGGAAACAACAGTACCAGGAGGCACAAGAAGATGTTTGTGAGGGCTCCTGAGGGCTCTTCGTGGCCTTTATCACTTCTCTGCCAGTGCTATACCTTGGCACACTTTTCATATCCATCTTCCACCCTCTCTCATTCCTTTTTTTTCCCCTCTTCCTTTCTTTACCCTTCTTTTCTTCATCCCAGCCTGTTCTCTAATATTACCTAGAGCACTGAAGCCATTGCAGAACCCTCCTGATGGGCCAGGATTTTCATGAATGGTTCAGAAAGATACACCAATTACCAAGGGTTTACATCCAAATGATTGTGTAAGCAACCCCAGGGACCAGCTCTGAGTTTCTAAATGTTTAATATTATATATGTTTATTAAATCTCAAGAAGGTGGCTGATATCCTCAAAGACAGGAATAGAATCCATGGTGACTTTGATACATTAAAGACATCATGCAATGTAAGAGAGGCCAATAAATCCAAATCCAAAAGAAGGAAAACCCAGATTTGCTTCAGTGTGGGAGAAACTGATTTGCAAGCACAGTAGATGTCAAGTTGGGCGTAAGTCAGGAAAAATTCAAACAAATCCAAACACAATAGTGCAACTATACCCAGCCAGAAAGTCATCCTCTCTGCCTTCTTCAGTATTGATCAAATCTCTATTAGATTATTTTGCTCAGATTTTATGTCTGCCAAAAAACAGAGAAGCTATAAAAGTCCCATGAGGAAAAAACTAGAGTATTTTAAACCTGGATAGATAAAAACCAAGGGGCAAGAACTTAGTGGTGGTCTTCAATGTTATGTTGTAACATGAATCTCCATCACAAACTGACATTCCAGAAACCAAAAACGTATTGTTTTCTCCCCTTTAAATTGCCTTTGACCCTGAGCCACCAACTTTCTCCCCATCTGTAGTGTTTGCCTTCCTCCCGGAATTATTCACAAGTCTGTCTTACACAGATCAACCCTCTCTCCCATCCTGTACACACTACTTAACCAATGAGCCGTCTGTTCTCTCACATCTATCATCCTTGGTGCCCAGTTTGGAGTAGGGGAAGCTTGCCGAGGTGTCAAGGGCTCAGCTTGTCTACGTCCCACACAGCTGCCTCCACTGGCACCATCTCCTGGGTGCTTCCTGGGAGCTAAGGGGCAGGTCCCCTCTAACCTTGGGACCTTTTATCCTTTTCATGTTGAAGAGTTGTAACGTAAAGTTCTTGCCTTCTACAGTGAAGTAGAATAAACATTTTGCTATACAGTCATGCACCGCATAACAACATTTTGGTCAATGACTGGACCACATATACGATAGTGGTCCCATAAGATTGGTAGCATATAGCCTAGGTGTGTAGTAGGCTATACCTTCTAGGTTTGTGTAAGTACACTCTGTGATGTTCACATAACAATAAAATTGCCTAATGACACATTTCTCAGGACATATCCCATTGTTAAGTGACTCATGATTGTATTTGTTTTACCCCATATCTATCCATCTGTCCATAATCAATGTACTTTTCAATGCATTTCAAAGCAAGCTTCAGATACTAGTACACTTTTTATATTAAATTTTACAGCTAACTTCTCTTTTTGCAAGTGA